CACTCAGTGAGCCTTCAACAATGTCCTTCCTGGCCTGTTGTTTGAGTTGACCGAAGGCGGCGGGTGGAGGGAACCAAAGACATTGACGATCGATTCCTTCCAAAGGGAGCTATTGCCGACCTTTATACCATAAAAAGAAGACTAGTTTCCGATATGATAAGAGAAGCAACTAGAGTTGACTTTTTTGTTAGACCGATACTCAAGACCCAGTTGTGAGCGGAAGAAGTCACTATCAATTCGATCTAGCAAGAAATGTTTTACCGGTAAAGTAAAGCGAGAGACAGTCGATCCTTTCTTAGGGTTCCAAGTAATTCAACCAGTCAGCCCTTTCCTTAGCAAGTTTGGGACTAAAAGAATGGTTGGGACAACAAACATCCATGTCGTTCGTCCTTTGGATACCCGTATAACCATCGAAGGCTATTGAAGTGACTAATTCCTGGAAATTAGAAGGCGTTAAAAACAAAGAAATTGTTGGTTTTCTCAAGGATGTTTTTAATGAGGCGATAAAAGGAATACTTTAAGTCGAAGTACTCAAAGACGGGGCCATAATGGCTAGTTCATTGCCCGACCTCTCGAATACTCTCCAGGTCGACCAATGAAGGGACTAGACATACTGGGACTGGAATGCCAACCAATGCCGAAAACTTGTAAAATTCTCCAAGTGTATGACCAAATCAACAATGCTTGAAGTTTATTGTTATTTCTCCAAGTGTACGACCAAAACTACAATGCTTAAACTTTATAGTTTCAACAAGCTTCACACTTATCAGCATATCCTTCTAAATTCAGGTTATGTTCGACCTCGTTTGAACTAACACCTACTGGCCCTCAGCCATAATTTAATTCAGGTTATGTTTGACCTCGTTCGAACTGACACCTATTGGCCCACAACCATAATTTAATCGAGGTTATGTTCGACCTTATTCGAACTAACACCTACTAGCCCATGACGACAGCTTAATTCAGGTTATGTTCGACCTTGTTCGAACTAAAACCTAGTGGACCTCGGCCATAATTTAATTCAGGTAATGTTCGACCTTGTTCGATCTAACACCTACTGGCCCTCAGCCATAATTAAATTCAGGTTATGTTCGGCCTCGTTCGAACTAACACCTACTGTCACACCTCCTTTTTCCCGAGGGGATAGGGAGTTTTCCATATTAAAGTGACATTATTCAAAATGAGATTATTTATTTATTTCAGAGTCTCCACTTGGGATAATTACTATGGTGTCCTAAGTCACCAGTTTATTTAAATCCCAAATCGAGGAAATTGACTCTATTTTATGGTCCACGAACACAGAAGACCAGGTAAGGAATTCTGTTAATACGGGAGAAAGTGTAAGGCACTCCTGAATTCCATGGCTTTAGCACGGTCGCTCAACTATTAACAATTGGCCTAATTATCTGAATTATTACATGTTTAGAACCTATTGTGCATTTTTACTTTCTAACCGCTTTTAATAGAAATTTAATTGCTTTTAGGATTTATGGAGTTTATTTAAATAAGTCGCGATGACGCACACTTATTGTGTACCCGTTAAGAATCGCGTCACGTAAAATACATCCGCGATCTACAACACGTTAATTTTATTATTATTCGAAGTTGTGGTCGAGTCGCATGAAATGCGCACTCGAATTGAAATTTATGTATCATGACTATGCCACGGGAACCGTACCCATAGTCACGATGATTTATTTAAACGTGCCTAAAGCAAACTATGAATGTTCATAAATTATATCCCTAAGTTTGAGATGGATGTGAAGGTAAAAAATTATGGATTTATTTTGTGCAAAAACTAAAATCGATTCTGGTGATGATATGATCCAACTCTTCTTCAACATATGCATGTATGAGGCACAAATGTATCTTAAATGGCATGCAAAAATGCAGATCAACACCAAAATGAGTTTACAAATTCAGCATTTGCTTATCTTAAATATGTGTTTAAAATTAGCACAACCAAAGCCTTATATGGCATTATTGTAATAACTATCAAGAAAAATGACTCCAACTCAATGTTCCTTCTGTTTTGCACACACTCGTCTTTAACCACTGTATTTGGATTCAAGCTTTAAAGAATTAATTGACACTCTTAATGATTCAGATGCAATTCATAAAAACATGTTTTATAGACTCAACTTAAAGCTCATGGTATTGAAATTATAGTTTTCTTACTGCTCGGAATCTCTTTATATTCAATGTTTTATGCAAACTTTAATTTAGAAGAACAAGAGAACAAATTCAAAAAACACTCAGTAAAAGCCCTAAATGGAACAACATGTATCTAATGAAACAAAAAAAAATAGAATTGCATGTGAATCTGTATGAGATACATGAGTATCAAACACATCAATTCATATAATGTAACAACAAATTAGATAAAAATGGTAACCAACAAACACTAAGTAACAAATATTTCAGTGAAATTTCAACATGTATGTAACAAATTTGATCGCACACTAAATGAGAGATTAAAGGAATGCCTAAAATGAAGAATCACAATGAGAAAATCAATAACGGCTAGATGATAAATGTAAGAAAATCAGCAGCGTAGATCCAACAGAATCATAACACGACAACCATGAATTTGAGCTTTGATAGCTTGTAGAAATCCAGTAAGAAAAGAAATTCAGCTTTGAAATTGTTTTTCTTCAAATCCCCATTGCAGATCCAGTTTTCTTTCTAGTGTGTGTTGTGCGTGTGTGAAGGAGAGATCATTAAGGTGAGAGAGGAGATTAAGGGTGGCCGGATTTGGCCGAACTCAGGCGAGCCATGGACGTCGGCAGTAGCGTCTGAGAGCTTTCTTATTTTGGAGGGGTGGGGTTGCTGCTCATGTCTCTCTTGTGCTAGGTTTTTGGCTGGTGTTGGAGAGTGAGATGAGAGGAATGAAGAAGGAGGGGGAAGGTGGCGGCTAGGGTTAGCAAAGGGGAGAAGAGTCTTTCATCTCTCTTTGAGAAGATGGGAATTAGTTCTTTTAGTAGATGGAAGATAGAGATACGACGTCGTTTTGGTCTCAACGACGTCATTTAGGAGCTGGTCCAGGCAGATCTGGATGCAAAGGGAATGGGCTGGTGCATTGCTGAAGATTGACTGGGCCGTTGGAAATTGGCCCAACCCTCTTTTCTTCCTTCTTTTAAATTTTACTTTTAACTACTTTTAAATTCTAATGCTAATTAAATCCATTTTTTACACAAATAACCTGTTCAATCTAATTTACCTAATCATTAACTAACATTGTAAACATCGTGTAAAAAATGTCTAAAGTAATTTTTTTTTTTGGATTTTATGTTTTATGCAATTAATATGCAACTAAATGCTAAAAAAGCAACTAAAGCCTAAAAATGTAAAAGATGAAAGATAAAATATTTTGATGATTTTAAAACACTTCTAAATATATGTGAATAATGCAAATAAATGCAAGAAATATTCCTAAAATTCTATGAAATAATAAAAAACTATATTGGAATTTTTTTAGGAATAATTTTATATATTGGGAAAAAATTAGGTGCTCACAACTGCCCCTCTTTGCTCGGAAACATGAAGAATTTTCAGGCAAAGATAAAGTGGGCAATTACGAGCAATTTTTGCCCGTTTGATACTCCATGGGAAGCATTTTGAAAAAGTTTGACCGAACCTTGCTTCGGAGGTTGCCTACATATCCTTGGCTATAAAGGAATCAGGTCAGTGTAGTTTTGGAAGTTTTGGTAGCTGGGACTACCGGAAAGCTATGATTTTACTGTTGGTGCCACTGTAACTGCTTGCTGAACTCTTTATTACAAAAGAGTCAAAATGAAAAAGAAACTAACTAAGCCTATCAACTACGAGTTACAAGATTCCTATCTCTAAGTCTTCTGAAACTTGATCTTGAGTCTTGGCTGGTTCTTCATGCAGACTCTGATCTGAACCTTGATTTTTGCTAGCTGCAGGTGCTAGTTCATTCTTCTTAAGCTTTTTTAGATCAAGACGAGACATGCAAAGCTTGTGACTTCAGTCATGTCTTGAGCAGTCCACATTTTTTCTACGCTTTTGCACTTTGGATTCACTTCTTTTCTTTTCTTTTCTTTATTTTGGATTAAGACGTCTTCTATTGGTCATCTGGAACTATGTGCCTCGAGGTAAAAGCCTGCTCAGACGCCAAAACAAATGAACGAATGAAATTTTTCTGCCCCAGTTTTCATTAGGAAAATTTCGTAGGTTATTTGTAACCAAAATTCTATATTACTTCATTATTGAAAGCAAATAAAAGGTCGGGATTGGTGTATCCTTGGAAAATAGAGATTAGGAAATGGAGACCCTATATCTAAAAATAAAAACTAAAATCAACTAGGGGGTAAAGACCATATGTTTGAAAAGCGACTACGGAGCGGAGACCCTATATCTAAAATAAAATAAACTAGGAAGTGGAGACCCGATATCTAAATAAAATCAACTAGGGAATGGAGACCCTATGTTGGAAAAATGACTAGGGAGTGGAGACCCTATGTATAAAATAAAATCAACTAGGGAATGGAGACCCTATGTTGGAAAAATGACTAGGGAGTGGAGACCCTATGTATAAAATAAAATCAACTAGGGAATGGAAACCCAATGTCTAAAACAAAATTAACTATGGAGTGGAGATCCTATGTTGGGAAAGTGACTAGGGAGTGGAGACCCTATGTCTAAAATAAAATCAACTAGAGAGTGGAGACCTTATGTTAGAAAAGCGACTAGGGAGTGGAGACCCTATGTCTAAAATAAAATCAACTAGAGAGTGGAGACCTTATGTTAGAAAAGCGACTAGGGAGTGGATACCCTATGTCGAAAAAAAATCAACTAGGGAGTAGAGACCCTATATTGAAAAAGCGACTAGGGAGTGGAAACCCTATATCGAAAACAAAATTAACTAGGGAGTGTGTGACGACTTGACCGGTCGTTTTGAGCTCTAGCATGTCGTTTAGCAGTTTGAGGCCACGGGCAGCTTCACTTCAGGTATTATGACTTGTGCGCACGGTCGGAATGGAATTCCGGGAAGTTCAGAGTTGATTTGGAAAGGGAATTCTCATTTCGGATGCTTTACGTTGAAAGAATTGACTAAGGTTGGATTTTTGAGTAAACGACCTCAGAATCGGGATTCTAAGGTTCCAGCAGGTTCGTATGATGATTTCGGTCTTGGGCGTATGTCCAGACTAGGTTTTGGAAGACCCGGGAATGTTTTGACGCCTATTGTGGAAGTTAGCATTTTGGAAGAAATTTCATAAGTTTGGGTTTGAAGTGAATTTTAGTGTTATCGATGTCCGTTTGGGATTCTGAGTATGGGAATAGCTCTTTGTGGTGATTCTGGTATTGGGAACGCGATCGGAAGTGAATTCGGAGGTCGGTAGGTCATTTTGGAGTCATTAGGCTAAAGATAGAAATTTGAAGTTTTTTTTTAAGTTGACCGAGAGTTGACTTTTCGATATCAGGGTCGGATTTTGATTTTGGAAGTTGGATTAGGTCCGTAATGGCGAATATGAATTGTGTGCAAAATTTGAGGTCAATCGGATGTGATTTGATAGGTATAAACACCGAAAGTTGAAGTTTGAAGCTCTAAGTTCATTAAGCTTGAATCGGATTGTGATTCGTGATTTCGATGTTGTTTGAGGTAATTTCAAGGCTCGAATAAGTTCAAATGAGGTATTAGGACTGGTTGGTAGGTTTGGTTGAGGTCCCGGGTGCCTCGGGCGTGTTTCAAATGCTCAATAGGTCGATTCTTGCCTTGCAAGGATTGCTGGTTTTCTGGTATGAGTGCAACAGGTTTTTACTCTATGCGATCGCGTGAGCGGGTCTACGATCGCATAGAACAAGAGTTGGAGGCAGATGATATTGGTTATGCGATCGCAGGGGTGTTTGTGTGATCGCATAGAGGAAGAAATTGGAGGTTGTTGGCTTTAGATTATGCGATCACAGGGTATGTATGCGATCGCATTGTGCAAGAATTTGGAGGCCCTGGGTTTGGCTTATGCGATCGCGGAGCATTGGTTGCGATCTCATAGAAGGGTCGCCTGGGCAGTGAAGTGTTTTAAAACGGGTTTTGGCTCATTTTTATCTCAAATCTTTCATGGGAGCCGATTTTGGAGCAACTTTGGAGTGTCATTTTCATCACCAAGCAGGAGGTAAGTGATTTCTACTAGTTTTAAGTAATACAAGGTTTATATATGGATTTAGATAAGGAAATTTGTAGAATTTTGGGGATTTTGAGGAAGACCTAGAAAATTCGTATTCTTGGTTGACAACGATTTTGGGTATGAAATTAAGAGAAAATCGTATATTTGAGTTCGTGAGTTCATGGGTAGACTTTATCTTCGAAAAATTTTGAAATCCGGGCACGTGGGCCCGAGGGCAATTTTGTCAACTTTTCGATCGGGGTTAGGAATGTTTATAAATTGGATTGTAATAAGTAATTGAACATATATTAATGGATTTGCATAATTATTGACTTGTTTTGGAGCATTGTGCATCGATTCGAGTCTTCGGAAGAGTGTGGAATACCGGTTATGGATCTTCGGAGCGAGGTGAGTCTCCTTTCTAACCTTGTAAGAGGGAATTGTCCCCATATGGGAGTTAATTGGTTATATGCTCCAATTTGTGGGGTCTACATATGCACGAGGTGACGAGAGTCCTTGCGTAGCTACTATTATGCTATTGTCCGGGTAGTCTAGGACCCAAAAACATGTTATACTTGGAATATCTGTAATCTTGTTGGCAGTTGAATTGCTTAAATCTTATCGAATTGGTAAATGAATTTCTAAAAGGATTAAACTTCTTTTTCTTAAATCACTAAAAGAGAATTGACTTTTATTTGGATAAATGTTCCCCGAT